TCTTCAATTAGCATATTTCTAACAATGAACGTGGTTTTTGGCCAGAAAAGTCCATTAATTTCAATATCTAATGTTAGAAGCAAACAAACCTAACCACTTGCCCCTCAGAGGATTTACCCCCTTCCTGACCAGGAAATTTTTTTACTGCGTTACTTTAACTGACAATTGCGCGGTCATGCAATGCTGCACCAAGATTAAATTTACGTCCTTTTTTTCCCCACAAATAAAGCTTTCTTTTGGTGTTAGTTGATAGCCTCTTCATTTTTTATTTTTTCCACTTTAAACACAAAAAAAGACTGACAACTTTGAAAAAAAAATTATATTTTTGACATTTTGCTATTAAACATGTCCAGTGAAAAAATTTAAAAATCAAATCTCATCATAAATTTAGGCCAAAATGTATTCTGCTACGTCTTTGCTAAAATAAATCCCAATACATGTAAATTAATTGGTTTACGTGAAAGTTATAGTGTTTAGAAAATGTGGTATATATATATATATATATATATATATATATATATATATACTGGAATTTTTTTTTTTTACTAGTAATGGCGGTGATCAGCAACTTATAGCGGGACTGTGGGACTGCAACAGGCATTCTAAAACTGGGGGGACTGACTAACTGTCACTGACATCCCCAGTAACACCAATACAGTGATCAGTGCTAATAAAAAGCACTGACACTGTACTAATGACACTGGGCAGGAAGGGGTTAACATCTGGGGTGATCAAAGGGTTAACTGTGTGTGTTTTACACTGTAAGCACACTGCTTTGTATGACTCTGCTATGCAGTCATACAAAGCAGTGCAGGAGCTGACAGGGGAGAGATCTGTATTGTTTACATACAGGTCTCTCCCCGTCGCTGATACTCGGAGATCGCCGGGTGACGGCAGTGAATAACCGGCCGGGACCCGGTGATTGACAGCTGAAGCTGCAAATGGCGGTGTGCACCTTCTACATGTAAATGCAAAATCAGGTATACATACGTGATTTTGTGCAGCCATGCCGACCTGTAACAGTATTTCTACTATAGGGTGGCGCGGAAGCGGTAAAGTACTCTTGAACATATTTTGTCATGTCATCTAATGTATTATTATTATACAGGTTTTATATAGTACCAACTGTTTACGCAGTGCTTTACAACATGAGGATGAACAGTACAATTACAATACAGTTTAATACAGTACTAAGGGCCCTGATCGTTAGAGCTTACAATCTAAGAGGAAGGGTCAAGAAATACAAAAGGTAATAAAATAAAAGTACAGTTGTTAGGTGAAGGCAGGATAGGGTTTTCAGGAATAGTCTAAAGGTAAACAGAGTAGGAGATAGTCAGACAGATTGGGGTAGGGAGTTCCAGAGGATGGGAGAGGCTTGGGATAAGTCCTGGAGATGACCATGGGAGGAAGTGAAAAGATAGCTAGAGAGCAGATCTTGGGAGGAACAAAGAGAATGATTTGGCTGGTATTTTGAGACTAGGCTAGTGATGTATCAGGGGGCAGAGTTGGAGATGGCTTTGTATGGTTTTGTTAGTATTTTGAATATAATTTGTTGGGTGAGTGGAAGCCAGTGGAAGGAAGGCAGAGAGGGGTAGCAGACACTGAGCAGTTGGTAAGGTGGATGTGCTGAAATTTTTCATAGGAATGTTCATACAAATGTTTGTTTGAAAATCTGATATTGTATGGCTAGTTTACAAGCAGTGAATACTGTCTAATGTGCACAGACATTTTATCAAAGTAACATCCAACAGTGTGGTCATTATTGATTTCCCCAAGTTTAATGAGCTTTATCCTCTGACCATGTCTGATCTAATGGCACTCTCACTTAACCGTATGCTACTACCACAAATATAACAGCCATATAATAATACATCATAATATGATGATAATTGTTAATGGAGGCTTCAGTCCTCCTGCTAGTTCAGAGTATGGCTGTATACTCTTGGGATCCATGTTGAGGGATAATCACTAGATTTACATCTTGGGGCATTTGGTTTTAATGGAGCAGAGTTCCTGCTGAGTTCCTTGAAATGCGCTGTACAGATGGATGGTTTCTAGTGTTTATTTAATTTGATGTGGCTGACAATTGTAGCTTTGTATACAGCAGCAAATGCAGAAGCAGAAGAAAAGAACTCCTAAAAGATGTGTTTACAGATGCTTGTGGCAAGCGCGGGATGGGTATGCTTCACTGAAGACAACTCTGCTTCCTCCCTGAATATGTGAAGACTTCCTGTGAGCTTTCATCTTATTGCTTCTACTGCTGAACTATCATTAATCTCAGCTCCACAGAAGGAGGGAAAGCTGGGTATAGATAAAACATTATTTTGTCAGAATTACAAAAGATCCAACATACTATCTCTTCTACAAATCTTAGACTTTTGCTTCATGACACTTGTATGTTTGTAATCACAAGCTTATTGATTTGAATCCCAGACACAGCATTATCGGCATGGAGTTTGCATGTTCTCCTATGCTTTTGTGGGTATTCTCCAAGTACTCCGGTTTCCTCCCTTCAAAGGCATGCTGGTAATGTAATTGGCTGCTGTCTAAAGCTGGCCATACACTAGTAGAATGCCAGCCAAAGAACATTTGTTCAATCTTCCAAATGTTAATGGACTATTCGATGTTCGTTTTTTTAACCGCGGTAATGATACAATTTAAAGGAGCAGGATGAATAATTGTTCTTGAAGGAACAACTGTGCAGGAAATTGTGCAGGAATGTCTATTCACTCCAATATTTCTTGTTAATAGCATACTACATTTTGAAATACTTTTTAACATGTGAGTTCTGGAAAGGTTTTCTCCCTTCTTGACCAGGGCATTTTTTGCTATTCATCACTGCACTATTGTAACTGGCACTTGCTAGGTCATACAACAATACAGTATACCCAAATTGTATTTATACCATTTTTTCACACAAATAGAGTTTTCTTTTGGTGGTATTTGATCACCACTGCTATTTTAATTTTGAATAGAGTAAAGCTGGGTTTAATACACCAATTTGTTTTTAAATCCACCAGCAGGTGGAAGAAAGAAAAACTCACCGATTCCTACATCCACACAAGTGATATTGTATTCTGACAATGGGGACTTTTTTCCATCAGAATACAATGATCAGCATTGCAGCCATTGGCTGCAGCAGCTGATTGAATGCTGGTTTTCCAGCAGGACTAATGATCAGCTTCTGATAAACAGAGAGGGTTGCACACAGGTCGAAATTTATCAACTTCTTGCTGAACCAACCATAACCAGCTTTAGAGATGATTACAGCAATTACAAATATTCATATGAACATGACTTCATGAATGTCGTTTAATTACGTGCCGCCTGCCCACAGTAGTTATTAGAGAGGCACCAAAATTTTGGCAGCCGAAATAAAGCTGCCGAAAAAGCTCTATCAGCATGTTGCCAATAGCAAAAAAGTGAGCTGATACAGGTGCTGATGAGATACCCAGACTCCATGAGGAGCAGGCTTTTGGTCAGGGAGTTTGGTGCAGATTGGGGGGGGGGGGTGGCAGAGAAAGGCAGGAGAGGAGGTAAGCAGTGTATACAGTGAGGGCGCAGTATATACAGAAAGGCTCCCTCACTTGCTGCCGCTAAATGTCATTGCTGTTTTGTTTTTGCAATTGCCGGCTCTTTTTTTTCTTCACTTTATAGCTCAGAGAAGGAGCTGTCATTCACTCTGTTGCTAAAGTAAACAAAGGGGCAGGGTCACTGGGTCCCTGTAACACTTATATGCTATCACATAGGGGACTATTGGTCTCTTATGTGATAGCAATAAAATCATAAGTTAAAAAAATAAATAAAAACACACATTAATGTAAAAAAAAATACAAAAAAAAAAAATTTGAGCCTCCCCATCCCCACATGTGCAGACACAGCATGGTCAGTGCACCACTAGTAGTTATACCTGACCATGCTGTGGTTGGAGTCAGAGCGATTTTGTCAACAGGTCCACGCCAATGATTCATGGCTGAGACCTGCTGGTCAGCTGTCTAATCACTGATCAGCAATCTGGATGTTTCTTTTCTCTGCAAAGCAGTTAGAAAAAAACATCAAGATAGAACATAAAAGCAGCACATATTACACATATAACACATTGTTAGGCATATAGTTAACCCTTTTGATTGATGTTAACTCAAAAAAAATACATTTGTCTCAAAATTTTTCTGCATTAGCTATGGCATCCTAGAGAAAGTGAAACTACAGGCAGATGTAAAAAACCCCCATTATATCAGATATATGTTTGTAAAAAATGCTAAATCTAGTTGCTGACAGAGCCAGTATAAGTACCTACATTCTTTCCTTATATTAGCATTTTGTAATACTCTGCATGGGGAGAGATTGGCAGCTCTGCGGTATTGCACAGTGCTGTCAGTCTAACATTGGATGCTTACTGAAAGGAGGTATGAGCAAAATGATGACTTAATTTGTGTTACAATGCTCCTTTATTGCCCGTTCCTTACACTTGAGTCATGTTGCTTAAAGCAGCCCTTTCTTGAAAAGAAATGCCTGTAAAAGAAGACAGTAAATACTCACCTTTTCTCATGCTTGTGCTACCAAACATCACTCGGTTCGCTATTCTCCCTACTTCAAAATCTGTTGCAAAACTGACACTTCTGTTAGTGTCAATCTCTTTTCTCTCACTGGCTCCTCCCCCTGACCTTCATGACACTGTAGGACACAACATTGATGTGGACATCAGCAGGAGGAACTCCTAGGGGACCCAGAGGATCAACATTCCCAGAAGTGTTATTTCCCAATGGAATTCTGTTGATGGCAACCTGTGAACAGAGCAGTGTGTGAAGTATTTATTACCGTCTCCTATTAGAGCATGACACCCTTTACAGTACACTAAGTATTCTAGGTGCCTTTTGGTGGGTGGAGACATTGTTTGCATGTTGGATGTTTACTGATTTTAGTCTGATATCTGTAGCCAGCTCTTGGACTTTCATCAAATAAACCACCTAATCTGTATATACAGAACGTTGTCTTCTCTGAATTTACAGTTAACTTTCGTTCATAGTAAACCTAAAATAAATTATTTTCTTTCATTTTCTTCTAGGGGAAAATTTGCAGTGGTCAAAAAATGTGTAGAATTGGTGACCGGAAAAGAATATGCAGCAAAGTTCCTGAGAAAGCGCAGGAAAGGGGAAGATTGCCGCAATGACATCATCAATGAGATTTCTGTATTGGAAATGGCCCGCTTCTCACCCTATGTGGTGGATCTTCATGAGGTCTACGAGACAAACAGCGAAATCATCCTGGTCATGGAATAGTAAGTGGGAACATAATAAGAAGATGTTCTGCGCAGGGAAAGCATAGTAAGCTGCATCAACCAAAACATTTAACCAGTTTGGAATGTTCAGGAAAATGAATGGTTGCTATGGGTTACTGTGTATAGTGTTTTCTGCTTTAGTAAAGGTGAATGGCAGACTTCCTTAAAGCCCAACTCCGGGCAAATGAAAAATGATCCTTTGCAGTTGGGATGTCCACACTGTAAGAGTTAATTGCTTATTTAGGTCCAGGGGAACAATAAAAGGGGATTTACTTACCCATTCCTACCCACAGCTAGACCAGTCACCACAATGTCTGCACCCCTACCCCAATTCCACCAGTCCAGAGTCCTGATGTCATCCAGACCAGAACAGTGACCATAACTCTGCGCTGGATGTGAGGATGCCAAGGGACAGTCCAGCAATAGGAGAATGGGGGAGTACCCCCTGCAAGGGGAGCCGAGAATCAGGTAAGTGAAACCTTTTCTCCTTCCCCCCTAGACAAAAGCAGCAATTAATATTTGCAGTGCCTCACTTCAAGAAGTCATTTTTTCTTTTCCCAGACATAGGCATTAAAGTAAACTTGCCACTTTGCCCATGATGCATTGCTCAGTCCTGGAGTCACAGATCACTAGGCCGGAGCACTGTCTCAATGAGGAGGAGGCTCATTAGCCCTTTGTAAGCTCTGAAAAATCCACTCTGTCAAGGTGTAGGCACTAGCTTTGCAACAAGAGGGCAGATGTCTGACTGGTTTCACATAGCTTATATGCCTTACAGAGGAGACCAGTCACTAGCAGGCAGTAAGGTCTGGACTCTTATAGCGCCTAAAGCTAATCAATTGATCACTGATCAATTTTTTTTTTGTTCATTCAGCCTAATGGTGCAGATGGACGAATGTTCCCTGCTGGGCTGTTGAATACTGCCACCTGTGCCTGCTATCAGAATTCACAAACAGCAGCTACTTCTGACTGAAGTTAGATGGCGGCTGTCCTAACTGTTTCTTCCTTTCTACCCGCTTATCAACATACTAATGACATTTTTAAATAAAACTGTTTTGTTTTAATTACATAGCATATTTTAGACCCAGTGAAATCATCACTGGGTCTCTGTTCATCTCTATGTAATTCAGACAGATCATGGCTGGTGGGGGAGTCAGCAGAGTGCTGTATATAGCTTCTTGAAGACATCACAGCACCTTGTCTTAGTACGCTTCTCAAGAGCCCACAGCCCTGCTGCTTGAGGAATTATGCAAATATCAAAATGCCTTAATGAGTGGATGCCAGTCTGGAGAAGGTAGAAAATACCCGGATCTGCATTTACCAGCATACCACTGCAGCCTGTCATTGACTTGTACAGACTGTTGTACACAACACCTGATACTCCCGGGCTCAGACGTCTGTCTGCTTCTTACAGTGTAAGCACCTCTGTGTCCAGTCAAATGAGCCCTAAAAATGCACACAGCATCCACAATGGTGTTTGCCTTATATCTTTTTTTTATGTGACTACCTGGGCAGTGTGCTGGCTATTTCTTGTAATTGAGTTATAACATGGTGTCACCATAAGGTGATCATCCCAGCACTGGGTGTATGGGTAAAATGCTGGATGGATTGGATAGTTAGGCCAGCCATAGATGGATTGAATCTTGGCCGGTTCAGCAGGGACTGGCTGATATTTGATCCATCTATGGGCAGGCTGGTTGTACTGAAGTTGATCCATCAAATTAATTCAGTACACACGGCCTGCTGAATTCATCATACATACACATACTATGGCTGTTTTAGACAGGAACCAATTAACCTACCAGCATGTCTTTGGTGTGTGGGAGGAAACCCACACAGGCACAGGGAGAACATGCAGAGTCTAGGCAGGTAGTGCCGTGGTTGGGATTCAGATCAATGACCCTAGTGCTGCCAGGCGGAAGTGCTAACCACTTAGCCACTGTGCCACCCAGTGATCAGTGTATTCTGCCAGCAGAGAAGACTTTCCGCCGGCAGAATACAATAGTGTTGTGGGAGGGATTCCCCCATCCACACTGACTGTGTGGATGGGGGAATTGAGTGATTTTCTTTTCCCTGCTACCTGTGGTTGTGTTATCTATGGCCTGCCTTAGCTTGTTATAACTCTCTGTGTCTTGGTTAGGGCCAGTTCACACTAGATGCAGTCCAGTGCGGGTTGTTTTTTTCTGCATCAAAAATGCATGGACAGTAGGTTATATGGGTTCCAATGGCCTAGTTCACACCAGTGCAGTCAATTCCAGTGTGTTCCAGTGCAGAAACAAAAAGTAGAACAAGCTGCATTCTTTCTGTACAGAACTGTACTGGAACACATCAAAATGAGGCTTTTGGAGGGCCGGATCATGGCCATTTTGAGTAGAAAATATCCTGGCATCAGTGAGAGTAAACAATGAACCATCTTTAGAATCAGGTGAGAGTATTTGGGGTTAATGGGAGGAATAGTGCCTCATTCTTGATGTCAGTGGAAGGAATAGTGCCGCATTGTTGGTGTTGGTGGCAAAAATGATGCCCCACCCCATTGTAGGTGTCAGTGGGAGGGATATTGTCCCAAGGGCCGGATAAAGGCAAGCAAAGGGCCGCATCCGGCCCCATGGCCACAGTTTGGAGATCTGTGCTTTATGTCACTGTCCGGCAAGCTTCAAAACAGGGAGTAAAGGGGAATTATCTCATTGACATCACAGACAGCAATACAATCTGGGAAGAATCTGTGAATCCCAGTGGCTGGAATAACAGGTGTGAAGAGCTGCAGTCTGTCAGTGCAATGACGTGCTGGTGGTGGCTGTCAGCTATGTGTGACTGTTTGCACATCCAGCAATTACCTGCGGTTAGGAAAAGGTGACCCTGGCTGGATGCACACAGAGTGTCCAGCCATGATCACCGCAGGTAATCACCGGGTGTGCAAACAGTCATGGGCACTATGGCTTGTTGTTGCATTGTATAGGCCACAGTTCTTCACACACCTATCATTCCATGAGGCACCAAGTTCTTGCCGCTGAAATTTGCTGGGTGTGCTAATCACCCATGTGAATGTAACCTAAAGCATACAAGACTTTGCATTTCTTAACTGTGTTCAAATTCCTAGTAGATCACCTTGTAAACCCGCAATATCTTTCTGAGAATCTTGCATGTCAGTCTATGTAGACCGCACACAGGTGACCACATCCTAGCCACCTGACAGACACTGTCTGTAAATATGTTCCAGATCTAAGTATCACCTTATAAGGGGATTGTGAAAGTATGTCAGCAAACCATGCAAATAAACCTTTAAATGTGTGGTTTGCTCTTACAGAAATTCTTCCCACTGCTGACAACTTCTCTGAGCTGTTTGTGTACCACATCAACCATAAAGAATCAATTTACACATCGGCCTTAGACAGAAATATATAGTTGCTGCTGCAGATGAAGCTGGGAAGGCATATTCAGGTTCAGTGATGTCATGATGGTTCAGGGATATTTTATGATTCTAATGAAGTCAGGACCCATGTATGTTAAATTATTCTTGCCATGTGTTAATGCACACGTGTTGTGGTACATGTTAAAGTGTTACTAAACCCACAGCAGTAAAATCAGTTTGTATATGCAGAAAGGCATGCTTGTTATACTCCCTATGGAACCTAAGGGGTTGATCCTCTACATTGTGTTAAAAGTCTGTTTGATCCTGTCCTCTCTGATTCTCCCCTTTTTCTCCCCTGATAGAACAGAGCCCTAGGAGACACTCTAGACATGTTCGGTTTAGTGTGTAGTGATAGAGAGTTGTTTTTGTTTTTTTTTGGGGGGGGGGTTTGGGGGGGGTGCATGTGATCAGCACAGGGTCAATCAGGACTGTTCAGACAGAGGGTCAGGGGCTATGCAGCCTCATAGGATAGTCCGAGCAGAATGAAAACTCCTCCTACAAGATTTAACCAGTGCTCGGCTCTACACTAATATAATTCACAAGACTGCTATATACTGCTGATGAGAAAAGGTATATTGCAGTTTATATTTACTAGAATAATTGCATTTCCATGTTCTGTGTACTGTGGGGGACCAGATATAGTGAATGCAGGGTCCTGGGTTTAGTAACACTTTAATGTATGTTGTGTTAAAGTGGTAGTAAACTGCATCAAAAGAAAAAAAAGAGAAAAAAAAAAAACCCTGCAAGGTAAAGCCATAATGTGCTAGTATGCATTGCATACTAGTACATTATGAAGGACTTACCTTGAAACGAAGCCCTCCAGCAGAGCACTATCATGGCTTCCCAGGGCTTCCATCTTCCTTCTGCCCACGTGGAGTCCCAGGCCATGACCCAGTGCTCCAAAGGAGCGGCACAGGTATGCCATTCCTTCAGAGCACATGCACTGGCTATAAAAAAAGGGCTCACTTTTAAGAGATATTAATTTTACCTACTGGTAAGCTTTATTATACGCCTACCTGTAGGTACAATTATTAAAGAAGAGTTTACTGCCACTTTAAGGCAGCCCATTTATAATAAATTACATTTTGTAAACAATGCAGCACACCACAAAGCACAGTACATACACTGTGGTGCACTGTCGTGCATTGAGTTATTCGGTAGAATGTATAGGGTTACCATTCACATACAGCAGGTATGGTGCCACACTTTTTAGCATGCACTGCCATAACACACAAATGTGGATGGACATTCAAGGTTATGTTCATCCAGAATAGATTTGCATTAATGAGCAGATACTGTAGAATTATTCACCACCATCATAAATCTCTTGGGGACCTGTTAAATGTTTAAAGGCTACCTACTCTCCATGGGCGTGTTTGTTGGGCCTTGTTGAAGGGTTGGCCCCTACAGTAGTGGAACAGACTATGCTTAGTCCCCTTCTATTTTACGCTAGGTAGGCCATCACCCATACCTGGAGAAAGCCTGTCCCGCACACTGAAGCATTTTGGAAACAGCTGGTTAACATCAATCTCCCTTTGCATAAGGACACTTATTGTAACAGGAAATTTGATAAGGTATGGTCAAATGGCTTAAT